TCTGATATCGGATGCCGTACAAATTTACATTTCCTAAACGCGACTAACAATGCGTCATATCAATAGACGTCCTGCTTCACGTCTTATTGAATTTCAATCAAAATTTATAATGTGTGAGCGCGACATAAAAGGCCACCATTTCGTCCTATTGCCAGCGCCAAAGGCAATGGCTCGACAGATTCGACTCTTGTCAGACTTTGGTGCTATCAAGGTGGTAAACTCCCCAACTACACCGCAGTCACTCCAATCTTCTAACTTTCGCCAATTTTTGACTTTCAGAGTGGAAGTTGCTTTGGCTGGTGAAATTTTGAAGCGTGTTTTCAGGGTTTAGCTCATGAACTGGAAGATGAGCGGCAATTGCGCGATTTGGAGGGTCTACCACCTAACCGCCAAAATCTGACACGGAAACAACTTGCCAATCTACTATCTTTATAGATGAAGCCGTTTCTGCTGTTGTTAGCTGCAGTGCTCGTTACCGTTTATGCGAAGATGCAGAATATCACGGTCAAGGGTACAACCATTTGTAACAAGAAACGATTACCTAACATTCTAGTGGAACTGTGGGAAAGAGACACCCGTGAGTTGTTTTATTTCGGCTCATAAAAGGAATTAATGAATTGTTTTTTTCTTATCTAATGGACCAACTTCTTTAGTACGAATCCAAAAGAGAAATGTTGTGCCTTCCACCGCTTTTACTCATTCATTTTGTTCAGATTGAGAAATGCCAGTTTCATTTCTCAAAGCATTCTCATCAAAGAAAATTTCACATCAACCACCAAGATCCAAGATCTGCTCTGTTTTACAGTCGATCCGGATGACCTTCTTGACTCAAAAATGACAGATACGCGAGGAGAATTTACTGTAAAAGGAGGCCAAAATGAAATCGGCTCCATCGAGCCCTATCTTAGAATTACGCATACTTGCAATGCAAAACCGGTTTGCCATGATCCTCTACTCTCTACTAAACTAACTATAAAAAGTATCAATTTCAGGGTTGCAAGCGAATCACCGAGTTTGACATCCCGAAGTCAAAAATCAACACCGTTTACGACATGACATACGTGACACTGGACATCATCTCCGCCAAAGATAAGGAGAAATGCTAAGTTTGGATGCTCCTGTGCAAATATATCACGTATAAACAATTCAATTCATCATTCTTGAAACCAGCTTACTCGAAGGAAAATATACAAAAAATCTTTTTTGTAAGGT